ACCCGGAGCAGTGGCAGAGAAGCGGCGGGGCTGGGCAGGGGCCGCTCGGCTCCCGAGCACCGCCGGGAGAGGCTCCCTCGGAGCGGGAGGGGACTCGGGGATCCCGGGGTTTCCCCTGAGGCACCCGAGTAGATGGGGAGGGTCCTTTGTTAGTTGAGGCAGGTGTTAATAACGTCCCAGTTCAGTGGCTGCGGTCACGAGCAAAAGCATCACCCCACGGTAGAAGTAGAAGAAGCAGGACCGGGCTGGGCTCCCGCAGGGGCAGCGCATTCCCACCGCAGGCAGCAGCTCCAACCTTCCTCCAAATCCGAGAGAGCAAGCGAGCTTGCAGTTTCCTCGTCCCTTTCTTTTACCAGCCCGATTCCCACAGTATCTCTGCCCCTCCGAGAGAAACTTTTAGATAAGAGTAATGCAGCCAGATACCATTCTCTCCCCTGAGCTTGGCAATTTCTTTTGCCCTTCTTAAGTACCTGATCGTTATTGTTTCTTAGAAAAAAAAAAAAAAAAAAAAAAAAAAAAAAGCGAGAGGGGGGAATTCCCTAAAAGAAAAGAAAAACCAAATAAAAACTCTAACCTATAACATGCTATTATAAACAAATCACTTTGTAGAAAAAAAAAATGACAAAGTGGAATTGTGGAAAGTTGGGAGGCCCCTAACACTGACCCCTCAGCATCTTCTTTTGCCCCTTTTCTGTTGAAATGTTGGGAAATGTGTAATGTTTTTTTCAATTAAATTCTCATTTCTTTCTGATCACATGAGAACAGGTCTGGTACCAGTACGAGTCTGAAGGGCCACACTTGGAAGTTACTCACCTTCCTGCCACAAAAGAGGGAACAATTCCAATCACAGACCAGAGTTCTCTCTGTCCAGACTTGGTTGGCACTTCCCCCAGCATGATACAGCTTGAATTCTGCCTCAGTAGGGAGGTAAATGCTGGCAAAAGAATATTATTTTTCAAAACTCCTGTCAAACAGTACATGCTGGATTCAGAAAACCACACCCTTTACACGTTACAGCCTAATGTCTTGTCTTGAAAAAAGCCCTTGTCCTACAGTCAGTCTGCTGTTGGCTTAAGCCCACAGTTGTGTGCCATGTTCCTCTTTGCTCTTTTCTACATCTCAGTAAACTTCCTCGTAGTGCATGAGGAAGGTTTCATCCATGACTCATGGTATACCATTCATTTCTCTACTTGCTTTAGTGCTTTCTGTCCTGACACTGCTGGAAACTATTTTATTCAGTGAAAGATGAAATTCAGGAGTGGAACTCTGTGGTGAGATATGAGTACTTCTTCCAGACTTGGACTCATTGCTAGCAATTTTTTGAGCACTAATACTGAGGCCAGATTGAATTTGGACTGATAGGAAAATGTTATGTGATATATGTTCAATCCTTTCTCCTTCCTGAAATTAGTGACAATATCTGAGACAATCAATGAAACATTGTCTGGCTTTTTGAGTAAGGTGAAGAACATGAGGCAGAGGGGGAGTTAGGTGACTACAGGAAAGCTAGAAATAATCCTATTCAAGACATACAAATAAAGGAGTGTAAAATGAGAAATGGGAGAATGTGGCAGCAACTGCTGAGAAACAAAAGCAGTTAAGAAATAGCATTGGAAATCCTGTATCTTCAGATTTATGAAAATGTCAGAGTCATTATGAAATCCCAGATAGCATCAGAAAATTTGTTACACCCAAACGTACAGGAAACTGGTCAACGAATGAGAAGGTGCCCTGCATCAAAAGGTACACAAGGTTTCCCTTTGTCTTTTTTACGTACTAGAAGCAATTCCTTAATTTATCTGGTGGAAGAAATACTCCAGACCTAAACAGAGCCAATCTCTACTGTCTGTGTCTGACATCCCGAAAGTTTATTTTTATCCTATGCAGACAGTCAGAAATGTTGCAAGTGTCTTTGAGCTAGAACTTCAATACTGAACCCAGGGCTCTTCCAAGTTCCTGACTTTATATCAGGGTGGGATCTGTATCTGCAGCAGCTTCCTCCTCTGCTCCACTTTCCACAAAGGGAAAGCCTGGGAGAGTGGGCAAGGCAGAAGCTGCAGTGTACTCTTTTTTTTTTTTTTTTTTTTACATCTGTTTTCCTAGCCAGGTGAGGCTGACACATCCTTACACCATCCCTTTGTCAAACACTAAATTATTTTGTCTTGGGATAACAAATCCATTCTACCTGCTCAAAACAGGAGTTTATTATAAAATTGTTTTGGGTAGCAAAGACCTGTCAAGGTCTCTAATGAAAAATTAATTGCTAAATATGAAGAGATGAGTCACCATATTGACTGTGGTTCAATACTAAATCCCTATCATAAGAGGGATCCAAGAGGACCAGTATTTAAACAGATGCCAAAACCACAACTGAAACTTGTGTTGCACTCCCTGGAAAACACAGCTGGTGAGCAGGCACTCAGCTTTTCCACTTCCCTTTCTTCCTTGATGCTTCCTCTCCCCATCTCACCCCCAAACCATTCTGTTCATTTTAGAAGAGAGGAAAAGTGAACATACATATTCTGTTAACAAGTGGAGATTGGTGTCAGGGGTGAAATTGTGCAAGTGTCCAGGTTACTTCTAAAGAAACGGACTTTCTAAAAAATGTAGAAAATATCAGGTATAATTATAGATGCATATTTCAGGAAGTATATTTTGATAAAAACCTTTACTTCAATACAGTTGATAGCAACACTATGAAAATACCCAGTAACACTAGAAGGAAAAAAAAAAAAAACTAAACTAAACCAAACAAACAGAAAAAAAAACCAAAAACAAAAAAGGGAACAAAACAAACAAAGAAACCCACACAAAAACCCCCAACCCAAAACCAAAAAAACACAAAAAAGCCAACCAACAACAAAAGAACCCCAAACCCCAAAAAAAAAAAAAAAAAAAAAAACAACAACAACAAAAAAAAAAATTCCAAAGCACATAAACTCTTGAAAGAAAGTTTCTAAGCCATTTTCTCAACTTCATGAACAAAGGGAATTAGGGAATTTACATCTCGTTTACATTATCAATCAAAATTAGGCAAAAAGCTTAAAAGAATTTCTAAAATATGAAAGATGCACAGATGATCGCATCAAATAACAAGAGAAGTGAGCTAACCCAAAAATGCTTACACAGTGGCTTTCATCATTCTTAAAATATTTTTTCCTGTCTTAACACAAACAGAGTTTATAGCTGGTCTTCCACAAATTTGCTAGTGTTGGAAACTGAATGTTAAAGAGAGAAAAAGTTCACTTTAAGTGCACTGCTTGATGCTCAGGGGTCTTTTTTTGGTTTGCTCGGGGGAAGACAATGCTGTTAGAGACGACACGGACTACGTGGGGCAGGAGAAGGGGTTGGGGTTGTGGCTGGAGCTGGTCCAGCAGCAGTTCGGTTACAGTTTGCAGACAGGCGCCAAAATTCAAAACACGCGCTGTACTGTACTGCAACTCCCGAGCGTGGCTGGAACAAAGCGCAGAGGCGGATGGGGCAGGATCCGACCTCCCTGCGAGCAGCGAGCACAGCACCCTGGGATTTGTAGTCTCTGCTCTCTGCTTCCTTTCCCGATTCGGGCAGAAAGCTGAATTTCACCCAAGTCACCCATCGTATCATCAGCTCTCACTGGCAGCGCCCTGCCGGTAACGACCCTCATGTGCTTTTCAGAAAGTGCACGGGGAGTGTTCTTGGTTCCATTTTAGCTGTCACTCACAAACACCCTCCGGGGAACCCACTGATACCCACAGCTCCACAGACTGGTGTGGAAATTCTCGGTAGGAGGCGAAGGTGTGAAGGGACACTCAGCGCTGTCCCGGGAGAGGAGATGCCCGGGCAGGTGGGACAGGCACTCTGCTGTCTCACACAGCCAGGACAAATAGTTTTGTACCAGATGGACATTTTGAGGCAAGCACATTCAGGTGAAAACCTGTGATTTATGCAGTGATTGCTAGAGAGACTTACAGCTATTTGCCCACGTGGATATTAAGCATCCAGAATTCCTGGGTTTATTCCAAGGTTTTCCAGTTTGAGGTGTACTTGATACTAGGATTTCACATGAAGATCGTTTTAGCTCTATTTTGAGACCAAATAACTACTACCTACTTTCTCACACTGGGTCCCTAAGTTTTCACATTGTATTCTGTATTTTCTTGCTGTCTTTCCGGTTTCTCTATCCAGACCTATACTCCCACCTCTGCATAATGCTCTTGCTACTTTTTCTCTTTGCTCTTCATACAGATGACAGACTTTTCAGTCTGTTTTTTCAGCTTCTCCTTTTTCTCAGCCCTCCCTTCAGCTCCCTCAGCTGAAAGGCACAAGACCAGGAACAGCTTTTGGGAATGGTAATCTAGTTTATACTAGTTAATGTGCAAGAATTGACAGAATTTGAGGTTTTGGGGGAAAATACTGCTCCAAATATTCAGGAACAGAAAACTTCTCAGTGAATTTTAGTTTATACAAAGTTTGACTACGTAGCCAAAAAACATCTCTTTAGGCACTCCTAAAAATATCAACCAGGACGACCCTGGGGACGTCCAATCCATGTTTTCTCCATTTCAGCACAGATCTGGACCCTGCCCTGTGCAGAGCCGACAGCAAAGAAGGGCAACATCACACAGTGCACAGGCGGCTGTGGACGACATTTTAGGGAGCTACAGTGAAAACACACAAACCCACCCTTTCAGGGAACCCGTCAGCCCACAGGCCTGAGCCCCGCGCGGGATCCGGGCTGCTGCTCCGCCAGGAGCGGGTGAAGCTCAGTCCTGTTGGTGGCTCCGGTCTCTTCCGCAGTTGCCACCAAAACCTCTTCGCTTCAGAACTAGCCCCAGCCCGGTTCTGTCCTTGACACGCAGCCCGCACGGCACCCGCAATCCCCGATCGGGCGCAAAATGGCAGCCGCTGCTACCGCCCGCGGCCATCTTGGCGCCAGGACTGCATGTCCCAGGCGGCGCCGCGGCGCAAGGGGCCGCCCGCCCGCCATCTTAGCGCTCCCTCCCCCGGTGCGGCGGGATTGAATGAGTCGCTGCCCGCCCGCCCGCCAGCCCAGCGCCATGTCAGGCACTCCGAGCCGCGGCACTCCCGGCGGGACCCCGTTGTCGCCGACCCGCATCTCCCGGCTGCAGGAGAAGGAGGAACTGCGGCAGCTCAATGACCGCCTGGCCGTTTACATTGACCGTGTGCGGGCACTGGAGCTGGAGAACGATCGACTGCTGCTGAAGATATCGGAGAAGGAGGAGGTCACCACCCGGGAGGTACGGCCGGAGTTGGGGGCGAGCAGCGACTGTTCCTGTGGCGCCCCACGCCTCCGTCCCGGGGCGGGTCCGCGGCCCGGGACTCGCCCGGCCAGCTCCTGCCCGTTCCCCGCGCGGTGCGCTGTGGCGGCTCCGTGTGGCCGCCGCGCCATGCCCGTCCGCCGCGCGGGGAGCGGGGGCCGTGAAGACCCAGCACCTACCCGCGCGACCCCTCAGGGCGGCCGGGGGCTCTCTGGCCGCGGTGTCGCTCTGAGGGGCTACTGGCGACACACTGGAGGCGTCTGAGGCCGGGATTCGGCACGGGGAGGAGCCCGTGCCGGTGGCGGGAGCGGAGCGGGGCGGACACGGCGCTGCAGGCGGGACTGGCGGCTCCCGCGCCGGCCGGGCCGCAGCGCGAACCCGCTGCGGGTCCCTTGGCCACGGGCGGGGCTCGGCCGGGGTCGCGTGCAGTCCGAGTCCTCCAATGCCCCGCGCCCACAGCACACGCGTACTCTGGTACCGGCTTGTTGAGTGTCCCCTACGGCCTCTGTCTTGACGGCTGATGCAGTGGGGTGGGAGATTTGAAAAGGTTTGGGCTGGCTTTGCCTCTGACCGTAGGAAATCTTTTACAGACTCCGTAAATACTCGGAATCAAGTCCGTGTAAGTGACTCTGATTTGTTTCCTCGAATTTTGGAAGCAAAACTGCTTGATTTTTTTCCTAAGCTTTGCTTTTCCCTGTTCTGTGGCGTCTGCTTTCCGCGGTACTCTCCTTCGCCTGTGGCGGAAGGATGTAGTCGGTGACACACTGGGGACAGTCCCGTCCTGGGCAAGCCCAAACCCCCTCAGCAAGGTGCGGTGTCCCACCACTGAGATGATGTTAAGGTGCTGTGGAAAGTCTATCAATAAACAGCCTGGACTGTCACTTCTGGGATGTGATGGATCGCTGTGCCACTGTGTAGCTTTTACATTTTGTTGTTCTTTTTCCTTTTTTCACCCCTTGAGATGCTGATTTGATGATACTCGGGGTGTTGGGAGGAGGATTTGATTTAATTTTGTTTAAGTAGAGCAGATGTTATAATGTCTTATTTGGGGATGGTTTGGAGTACGTGCAATCAGTGCATGTATGCCTAAACCAGAGTACCTTTAAAGTCCTTTTGTATCACTTAATGATACATTGTAACTTCCATGCTTTCAAAATCGCTAGCTATTTCTAAGCATGAAGCATAACTTACCGTGTGAAATCATGCTATAAACAAAATAAACACATCTAATTTAGGAAACTTCTAAGCTGTAGATCGCTGGAGTCTAGAAGGACTATCCCTTTGAAATGCAAGAGTGAGAATGTAATTCTATTGCTGGCAGGAGTAAGAGGACAAGCAGACAGCGTTGATATAATTTCATTGGATTTTTAACATGAGTTTAAACCAGTTTGTAACAGTGTACCGTTTGAGCAATTCTGAAAAGTATTCTGATGCAGTAATCAGAAAATAAACTTGAGAATGGGAGCCTTTTGGTTACTTTGAGCTTTCTGCCTCTGTTTTTTTTCATCCAGACTTCAAAAAGGTCTTAATCCTCAGACATAACAAACTTCTTCAGGATTTATCAAGCTCTTCTTTGGCACTGATGCTTTGGCTTGTCTCTGGACCACCTTTGCTAAATACTTTCCTCATCCCTTTAGGAAGGTTTATTTATTCTTTACATATGTCCACAGAAGGAAACTTTGTAGTTTTATTGTTTTAGTGCTGGGCAGTGGACATTGGTTTAGGACTGTGGAAGCAGTAAGCCTTCACAGAGTTGTCAGATTTTCTATTTACTTGAATGGGAGAATCCTGTCCTTTCACTTTTGGGACCAACCTAGTAAATTGGATTTTCTGCTGGCAATTCAGCAAATTCCAACAATTATTAACTGTTGGAATTTGCCTTCATAAAATGATTAGGCTTAGTGTGAAATAAGATATTAAATAAAAATAAACCCTCCAAATCCCACAACCTCCCCCCAAACAAACCCCAAAGCAGCTCTAACTTCTGCGTAGAAGCACAGTTAAACATAGTCCAGTGAAATTTGCATACTGTTCTCTCTGCAAAGAGAGAAAGATTTAAAGATTATTAAATCTTTATATATGTAAGCATCTAAGCTCTGCATGCTTATAGGAGACTATTTTCTTTTTCCACAGTGTTCAAAATGCAAATTCCCGTTTCTTGTCCTCAACTGTGTGTAAATTTAAGTCTGATCTTATTTACTATTTATAAAAGCTAATTGAATATTCTGTTATTTTTGGCTTTTCTTTGGTTATGGCAGAAGATGTCACCTGCCACTGTGGTAGGTGGTATCGTGCACATTGTGGGAAGCAGACAGGAAGCACTTCTCACCAATGGGCTATTGGTTACTACCTGAGACTTTTGCCTAGAGAGCCGATGATGGGGTCCATGATCAAAGGTGGATTTCTCAAAGTTAAGGACAGCTGTGGCAAGCAGTATACAGAACCATGGTTATCATGGTTAGAGAGATGTTTGTTCTTTGCTTGTCACTCAAGTATCCCACAGGGACCATACCTGAGCTGGCAGAGACTGTTACTTACTGACATGACATGTCCTGAGTAATGGGTGACCATTCCTGACACCCCCTGCCCCAACCCTGCGTGTCTGGGAACAGTTTTGCTCTGTGCTCAAAGTTCTGGTTTAGGGTAGTGTCTTCTGGATGAGAGAAGTTCTACTGATGCTGATTGGGCAAGGAGTGTAGTTATTGTTCTGCCAGAGATTCTTTAATCATCAGCTGATCAGGATGTTCTTTTTCCTCGTTGTTTCAACTACCAATTTGAACAAGATTGCAGAAAGCAGCTGTTTGTGTGGCAATCTCAGCATGGTCTTAGAACAATACAATTCCTGTTCTTTTTGATGAACACAGGGCTGCCATCTCTTAACAGCAGAGAAAAGGAGCTTTGCAGTTGATTAATCTTTAGTTCTTTATTAATTATAGCCTTTTTCCTAACCTTTTCCAATGCTGCTTTACTTGTATGCAGTAGGCACCTAGACAAATAAAAAGTGTATACTGTAAGCCCTCAGACAAATGCAAAAAAAAAGTTTGCAGATGTGGCTGAGGGAACCTCATTCCTTCTCTGTTTGCTTTCCTCCATCACTGCCCTTGTGTAAGTTAGCCTGTGACAGAAGAGAAATTGAGCTCATCCCGTTGTTTTTCTACATCCTTAGTACATGACTGATGCTATTCTCACTATGTTGGGGTCACTGTTGCAATAATCTAATTTGCGAGGCTGGGAGGGGACATACTGGAAGAGCTAAGAGAACAATCCTAGAGCTCTCCTCAGTTCTGTTTTACTGACTCCCTGCCCTCTTCTGCAGTGCTTATGGTTGTAGCCTTCTGGAACAGATGTTTTGATGGGGACAGGAGGGATTACTGCACTGTTCTGAGGACATCCCACTGTGCTCACCCCCTCAAAGGAGAATTAGAAAAATAAGATCCTTGGGAGCCTCAGCTGCTGACAGCAGTTGCCCTTGTAACAAAAAGAGGATCTGTGGGGTTCCCTCTTCACTCGTGTCTTCCCATCTCTGTGGGTGTGAGTGCAGGTGGCTGCAATCTCACATGGTTTCCTCTTACCTGCCAGTGTTGGAGCTACCATGCCCTTTGTGTGCACCATGTGTGGTGGCCAAAGCTACTGTCCTGACCAGGATATGAAGGTCTGGTGTTGCCTAGTTGTCACCTGCAAAATACATACTTAGATGCTGCTGTGGACATTGGGTCGGTCACTCAAGTTGCATCCTCTAAAATATTGGGTTAAATGGTTTTCTGGCACTGTAGGTGTCATCTGGGAGGTGACATAACACACATCTTCGTTATTCTTGAGAACATGACTGATATTTTTGGTTGGCCTGAACCATAGCTGACTGGCAGTCCTTTGTCAGTCTATAACTGGCTAAATTAGAACATGCTGAGCCACACTTGGTGGGAATACACTTGTGCTTTGCATGTTAATGTATTCTTATGAGATTAACGTTTCCTCAGCAAATTTGTCTGGAGTCACTTGTGGTTGGCTGGAACATGTTTCTTGCCTAGCATGTTGGTTCAGTGCCTTCTTGACGTGTTTCAAGTCTTCACTGAGTGACACCTTGCAGCTTTTCTCAAGTGGGGTTGCTTTGGGAGGGTCTGTGTCAGTGTATCTGCCCTTGACCCACTACCTAGTGAGCTTTGAATGCTCCCAGCACAGGTAGGTGAGAGCATCTGGCAGCTGTGTCTTTCAGTCTGCTATGGAAGCATCTCTGTTTTCTTTTTTTATTTCCTTGTTCCCTGTGTTGCCCAATTACAACTCACAAGCTCTTTTGCCAGCAAAAGAGAGGGTAAAAAAGTGAAAGCACATTTGTAGTGCAATAAGGGTGTCTAGGCTGGCCTCTGTGAAGGAAGATTTACGCTTGGGTGCGTGGACATGAAGTGGATTGGGCTGCAGCATATCCTTTGGTTTTGTGCTGAACATTTTAGGGTTTTTCTGTTGACTTCAGATGGGGTTTCCATTTTCACAGTTGAGGGACCCATGTGCTGGCCTAACCTGTCATCTGGGAAGGTTTGTTGCTGCTTCCCGGGGCTTGTATTCTGGACATTGTAGAGAGACTGCTGAAGCTCACAGCGCCAAATGAGTTTCATCCCTTCTGCTCTTCAATAAAGGGACCAGTGCTAGTAGCAAGAGGGACCTGAAGAGTATCAAACATAACTACATGGCTCTGGGTGATCGTTGGAGGGTAGGGGTGGGTTTTGTTTGGCATTTTTTTGGTTTGGCTTTTTTGGGATTTTATTTTGTTTGTTTGTTTGTTTGTTTTGTTTTGTTGTTGTTTTCCCTTTTCTTTCTCTGATGGAATTTTTCTCCCATTTGTTGCCAAAGAGACTGGAACTATAAATACTTGAGAAAGACAAAGGATGTGGCCAAGATGTGGGGAGGGGGTGCAGGTGGCTGCAGTCTCTGTGGTGGGGGACTTTCTCTTGAGAAGGTCAGAGACACTATGAGATTTTGGCTGGGAGCTCAGGGACTGGGCTCAGCTTCTCACTCACTCTCGGGTCGGAAAGCAGACAGTTGGGCTGCTGCTACTGCAGGGAGAATTTGCTGCCACCACGAAGTTCTGTCCTGCACTGCTTCTACTACCAAGGGTGAGCCTTTGCTTATAAGAGCCGCCATTGAACTGTGACCTTTTCAAGACCCGACCTCACTGGGAAGGACCCTAATCATCTGCTCGGGTCCCCCGGGGAAAACCTGGAACCCTGAGCCCCTCTGAGGGGGTGTCTCCCGGGTCTGCCTGACCTCTGCCTCTCCTGGCACAGCTCCTGAGTTTTGCTACACTGTGTTTGCCACTCTGGGTGTGCCTACTGCTGCTGTTCCAGCTTGCTGCTCTGAAGTTCCTGCTCCAGGCCATTCAGCTTCCCAAGTGGCACTGAGACCGGCTGCCCACTGAGGGTTTGCAAAGAAAGCCCCTTCTCTCTCAGCCGCCACTGCCGTGTGGAGAGGCGGCCGGGCTGGCGCCACAGCGCCCCCTGCAGGCGCAGGGGAATCATCGCACCTGCCCGGCCGGGAGCCGCCGGCGCCCCTGCCGGCTGTGCCCGGAACTGCACCAAAGGGGAAAGTGCCGAGAGAGGCCGGGACTGGGGCCGGGGCTGGGGCTGTGCTCGGGGCCGGGTCTGTGCTTGGAGCTGGGACTGGGTCTGTGCTCGGGGCTGGTTCTGTGGTTCTGTTTGTTGTTGCTGCTGCTGTTGTTTGCCTTGTTATACGTAAACATACTACTAAAGAACTTTACTCCTTTTCTCATACCTTTGCCTGAAAGTCCCATTATTTCAAAGTTATAATAATTTGGGGAGAAGGGGTCACATTTTCCATTCCTAGGGAGGAAAGACATTGGCATCAAAGCAGAGGTGGTGTGTGGAGAGTGAAGGGCTTGAGGATAGCCAAGCAGATCCTGTAGATCAACTCTGGATTACACAACTGCTGTTGGCAACAGGTTTTTGGATTCTACAACAAACCAACAAACCCCAGGTGGAAATTTAGGCTGGGTGGAGATGGAATTGAGAGTTCCTCTGAGAAGACGGACTTGGGGGTGTTGGTGGGTGAGGGGCTGAACCTGCTCCTACCATTGGCACTAGCTGCAGAAACCACCTCTGTGATGGGCTGAGCTCCCAGTGTGGGCAGCAGGGGAGGGGAGATTCTGCACCTCTGCTCTGTTCAGAGAAGCTGTGGCTACCCCATCCCTGGAAGTGTTCAGGCCAGACTGAGGCTTGGAACAACCAGGGAAAGTGGAAGGTGATCCTGCACATTGCAGGGGGTGGAATGAGATGAGCTTTAGGTCTTTTCCAACCCAACTCATTCTTTGATTCTTTGACCATGGAACTGTCTTTCAGGATTCACAACTGCTTCAGAGAGGCAGGATCCACCTGACTAAATGTCCAGCATAAAGCTGGATAACCCTGTCACACTCTGGGTGAGGAACTGGCTCACAAGTTGGGCACAATGGGTTATAGTGATGGAGGGACATCAGGCTTGGTCGCAAGTGGAGTGCCACGGGTCTCCAACCTCAGCCCATCAACATCTTCATCAGTGATCCTTGGATGCAGGACTCAGAGGGATTCTAAGAACGTTTGCCAATGGCATTAAATTGGGAGGAGCTGTCAAGACCTGCAAGGGCAGAGGGGCCCTCCAGAGAAATGCTGACCAACCAGAGAGATAGGAAATCACCAACCATGTGAAGCTTAACAAGGACAGGTGCTAGATGCTGCCCCTAGGATGGGGCAGCCATGGCTGTGTGGATGGACTGGGGAAGGAGAGGCTGAAGAGAGGCTACAGAAAGGGGCCATGGGGTTCTGGCTGATGGCAAGTTGGATCTGAGTCAGCAGTGCCCTGGAGCCTGGATGGCCAACCGTGTCCGTAGGGGCATCAGGCCAGCTGAGTGAGGGAGGGGATTGTGTCTTTCTGCCCTGCACTGGAGCAGCGTCACCTTGAGTTCTGGGGGCAGTTTTGGGCACCACAGTATAAAAAAACATTAAGCTAGTAGAGAGGTGTCCAAAGAAGGGCCACAAGGATGGGGAATGGTCTAGAGGGGAAGGTGTATGAGGAGCTGCTGAGGGCACTTGGTTTGTTCAGCCTGGAGGAGACTGAGGGGAGACCTCAATGCAGTCTTCAGCCTCCTCATGAGAGGCAGGTACCAGCCTGTACACTCTCATGACCAATGAGAGAGCTTGAGAAAACAGCATGGAGCTGAGTCAGGGGAGGTTTAGCTTGGATGTCAGAAGGTTTTCTCCCAGGAGGAGGTTGGGCACTGGACAGGCTCCCCGGGGAAGTGCTCAGAGCACCAAGCTCAGGGAGCATTTGGGTAACACTCTCAGACACAGTGTAGGATTGTTGGGGTGCCCTGTGCAGGGCTAGGAGTTGGACTCTCGATGCTCTTGACAGGTCTAACTCAGCATATTCTCTGACTCTATGAAAGTTGTTCTGGCATCCTTTCACAGAAGCAAAAGTAGCAATCTTACATGGTCTGTACATTTTAGCTGTCTGATATAACTTTCAAATAATCTTGTCTTATAAAAAATATAAAGATATAGCAGACTTCAAGGTGCCTCATGCAGTCTGTATTACTGATTATATGATAGGTTATTTTGGGACAGGAAGAAGTCTGTAGTTCTTTATCCTCTGAGATAGAGAACAAGAGTGGAAGCTCATTTCTGAACAGTTCACATTTCTGTAGTTCATGTGGTTTCAGACCCTTTGTAGTGGAAGAACAGCCAAGTCAAAATGGGTCCTTGGGCTTGTATTCCACAGCAGCAGTATTGGGAATAAGGGCAAATAATTGAAGTTAAGATTGCAAGGTGCACTCATCTTGTTCAGTTTATCTCTTGGGAAGGTTTGGACATTTCAAACATAGTATTTGTTGCATTGGTAATAAAAACGAAATCTTTGGGTTGCTTGTTAATTGAAAATGTTCAGTATAGAATATTCTTAAATGGCAGAAATCATATCATACACCCTTTTTCAAAGAAACTTGTGTGTAACCTCGTCCTGTGTTTCAGTTCTTTGATAGTTGTTGTGATGTTACAACGCACAAATACTTTTACAATACTTTTACAATGCACAAATACAAATACACCCAAATACTTTTTTTTTCCCCTTAGGTGAGTGGAATCAAGAGTCTCTATGAGTCTGAACTGGCTGATGCTCGAAGAGTTCTGGATGAAACTGCCAAGGAGAGGGCTAGATTACAAATTGAAATAGGAAAACTGAGAGCAGAACTTGAGGAGTTCAATAAAAGGTGAGGAGGGTATTAAATTTCTTTTCTTTCAATTAGAATGGGCAATATTTGCTGTGGAAATGATACTAATGATGCTTCTTCAAACACCTCCTGGAAGCAGATCCATGAGAAGATACAGGTTTGTCAGAGGGAAAATCCTTCAGCTTGCTGGTACAGCTGGTCAGAGCACATAATTCCAGCAGTATATACACAAGTGTATTTGTAAATATTAGATGAATGTCATGTGATGTGAGACTCAAGCAAATGGCTGTACCTGCTTTGTCCTGTCCTGCCTCCCCTTACGTGAATGTGCATGTGTGCAGCTGTTTGGTAAACTGGATTGAGAAAGAGATCTAGATTAAAACTGATCCATCCAAGGAGGGTTCATTAATGATTTTTATTGTCTGGTTCACTGTATGAGTGATGGGAGAAATGGAAGAAAAGGGAAGGGCTTGGCCCTGAGCAGTTTGGGAATATGGAAGCAGTGTTGCCTTGAGAAGACAATGAGCTACAATGTAAATGTGCTGGGAGAAGGCCTTGTACTGACTAAATTTTTTTAAACTGCCATTCAGTTTGTATCACAGAGAATTGGCATAATAAACTAGTTCCTGAAACCAAGTAGAATTCATTATTTCAATTCCCATGGGAATTATTTGTTATCAAATACTGTTTAGCAGTAGAAACTTAATTTAAAAATTAATATATGTAGTGGAAAAATAAATTTTTGCTTCTAATTGAATTTTGCTACCTATTTTAATATATAAGATTTGGGAATTACAGATTTTTCCTGAGCAGGTCATTATGTACATCACCTGTTTATCAATGTTGTCAGCCATTAAATAGGTTTTAATGTGGCAGTGCCACTAAGACCTACTGTAAGTCTCTCATCTCTTCATTTGCAACTAAGTGGTTATAAAAGGACTTAAGTGTTTCCCTCCCCTGTCTTTTTTTTTTCTGACTATCTAGTTAATTTATGATAAAGTATTTCACATTTTCTCTGTAAATTTTGCTATATCACTGGATACTCATTTTCTCTGCTGGGCCCTTTTTTTAAAGTCAGCCATTGGAGATATTTTTGGAATTTGCCCTAAAACATCTGTCCATACATGAAATAGTGATAGTGTAAGCATCTGCATTTGAGTTGGTGTAAAGTCTGTTGAAGTACAGCCAATACCATAGGCCTGCATGTGGTCGGGCAAGCTGTGTGCTGGTATTTGTGGACTTGGTTCGCTCAGCTTTTGTTAACCATGACAAACTCCTCTGGTAACTAGGTCAGCAGTAAAACCCCTGAAGTGCAGTGAGGTGAATCCCACCCAGCCCTACTGGGATGTTCCTGTTGGAACTGTGTATTCTCTTCAAAGCCTCAGGCCAGCAGTCTTGGCATTTATTTTGGATAGTGTATTTTGCATGGCAGTTGGCATGTGCATGGCACATGGACTTTAAGGTTGTCTCTCTCATCTTGTGATAGCAGGTACTCTTCTTGCTTGGCTTTTAAAGCAAGCTCCATAAGAGAGCAATAGTAGTAACTGGGAATTTGGTTCACCTCTCATATTTCTCTGTTTTGATTAAGGTATCCTTGTAAGAAGTCTCTTGACTTGGCAGATAATGAGAATCCAGTTGATTCCTGTTCTTTAGACTTTTGATAGCCCTAAGAGATTGTACAAAATACTTTGTGGTGGGAAATTGTGCATGTAAAGTGATGGAGATAGTGTTTTCCCTTGGATCACCCCCCTCAACCGTTGTCTGGACAACTGAGTTGCCCCTTACCAGTCACTTCAATGACCAAACTAACTTCAGCTTTTTGTTTGCTTGTCTTCTGCAATAGATGAGGAAAAAGAACCTGGTTTTCTGGGTTTCTCTCTGTGTTTACAGTTCATAGCAATAGAGTCGAATTCCTCAGCGTCAGAGTTTCTTCTACTTAATTCCTTCCAGTCCATTGAGATGCTTGTAATGTTCTTGGAGTGTTTGTGGGGTGTCTAGCTTGTGATGTGGCCAGATTTTAAATATGACCCTCATAAGTGAAACTTTGAATTTTTTGTCTGATTTGCAGTGTTCACTTGACATCTAGCTCATTACTGAAGCTGACAGTCAGATGGTGTCTGTGCTGACAGTCAGATGGTGCTTCTCTCAGTATTGTAGCAGCGGGCCCCTGGACGGGGAATAATGAGCATTGACTCCATGATTGCAGAAGGCTGATCAAATGCTTTATTAAGCTATACTACACTACACTACACTGTATTAAAAACCTTTCGCCCTTGCCAGACAGTCCAATACACACACGTGGATCCAATTGGTCAATGAAGCAAAGCACCATCACCAGAGTCCAATTAGGAAACTACCTTTTGGTAAACAATCTCCGTAACACATTCCACATGTGCACAACAACAGGTGCAGAGATTAAGATAAGAATTGTTTTCTCTGAGCTTTCTCATAGCTTCTCAGGAAAATCCTTGGAGAGAAGTAAGTCTCTTTCTGTTCAGAGAATATGTGATTACCACATCTCAGACCAAACTTGCTTTGAGAACTGTGTAGTGGAAGAGTAGGTTATTGCATAAGTTTATATTCACTACTATTGCCTCTCCCTCTCTTTCAAGCTCATAACAGAGGAGAGATTTAAGAATGCCAGCACAGTCTGGCCAGGAGCGATCCCAAACATTGCCATTCTTTTGTTTGCTTGGAATACATTGGGTTGCTGGGCCAGGAGATTAAATAGACTTCCCTTGCAACATAGGATCACAGTCAGCCTCCTGGTTTATTAGCATTTTTTTTTTTCCTGCCAAAGCCTGAGTTTGTGAGCATGGAAAGCCCTGAAGGCACTGAAGATACTCCAGGGAAGCCAAAGGGTATGGTTGGAGGTGGTAACATCAGGCCTAGTTTGTGCCCAAAGGTGCCTGAAGCTTACCCTGTGTTTAGTTCCTTCCTGGAGCTGTTTACTTGCACAATTTCAACTTGTGAAGCAGCTGACCAACCTGCATCAAGAGTCTTGGATAGGGCACACGGATTTGGGACAGAACCTGTGGTCTAGGAAAGAACAAGGTTTTTCTGTCAATGCAATGGACGTAAGAGAAAGCACTTCTGCTTATGTCTTTCTGTATCTTGTTAAAATACTGACAGATAAGGCTACACCAGGGTTCCGTATGAGTGCAAATTCAACTCCCAGGGTTTGGATTCTGGGGCACATATTTATTTTAGATTTTTTTCTCTTACTGTGTTACCAATGTGGTAATATTTTCTGGGGGATTTTTAGTGTTTGAGATAATTGGATATAATTTTCCCTACTAAGTCAACAAGAAGCATCCCAAGGCTTTTTCTAGAGTCATTTGTTGCGGTGGGGTGGTGCTGAGGGTGCTGTGACTTTCCTGAGGAGTGTCCTGAGAAGGACGGCTCAGGGGCACAGGCACGTCCTTCTCCCAGTGATAATCAGCTCTGGCTTCTTCTCTCAGGTGATGTGGAGAAAGAGACTGGGGCTCTGTATGGTGTTCCACAGAGTAGTGGCCTTTATTAAAAGCAGGGACCTCTGCAAAGGGAAGCAGGAACAGAAGCGCTCCAAACTGGGGAAAAACAGGGATTTATGTAGGGAAGGTGAGGGGCAGGACAAAACCAGTAACCAATGGGATGTGGGCTCAGGGGTGGAGCATGAGGGGAGAACCAATGAGGAACAAGGGATTAACAGAACTGCAGAGGCCTCTGGGGGTGATTTACTCACCCTAAAGTCAGTGGCTTGGGGATTAGCCCTCCAGGGGAGTGCAGGAAGCCCTTCTTTGGCTGGCTCTTCAGCCCTCACAGTTTGTATTGAATTGTACCAAAGGTCTACTTAGCCTGTTAATTGATCTCTGTGAAAAGCCATTTGTCTAGAGAAGAGATGAATGTAACATGCATAGCAACAGCTCTTGGGAATACTCTTCCAGTCTTCAACAATTCCCTTCAGCTGAGGGACTTTGTGATGTCCAGCTGGATTCTGTGTAATAGCCATCATGGATTTGCATTTCATAGTGTGACCAGTATTCTGAGACCAGCTGTTTGTGGAGTTCTTAGACATAGCAAGGAGATTCTGAGTTTATCTATCTGTTGTATAAACATGTTGTTCAATCTGCCTTTCATTTGTTCATTTATCCCTTTTTTTTGTATTTGTCTTCATATCTCCTAGGACTTTCTCTTTAATGATCTCTTTTTTTCAAGTGGAAACATCTTACTGCTTAATTGCTTCTACTCCTGAAGCTGCTTTGTGCTTTCAATCAACATTTTATCCTCTCTGTCATTTTTACTGTTTTAGTGTATCCTCTTGGGAAGGAAAGCTGCAGAATTGGAACTTCAGCCAATATTCAAGATGTTATTGTACCATAACAGTGTTCTATCTCTTGTTCTGTATTTTATTTATGAATAATTTCTCAAACACAGTTGCATTTTGAGTGCTTCTGAGCTGCTGATGTGTGAAGAAGGGTAAGCTCCAGGTAGTATTTTACATCAGATGTCTCCCAAGGACCCCAGTGAGTGGCAGGAGTGCTACAGAACTCAGAAGTGTTTTGTGGTAACCATATTTGCTGTGGCCTCTTTAGGCAGAGGTGGAATAAGGCCCTCTCAGAGCCCTTCTGTGCAGGGTTTTTACCCCTGCTTACGCTCCTTGCCTTCCTTTACAAAAGCCAAATTAGCTGTGAATTTTCAAATTCTTTATGTTTATGCATATGCCCGCTACTTTTCTTCATTGATGCCTTTGTCTAATTTTACCTGTGCAGTCAGAGAAGGATTTTGTGGAGGGACTTTATCAAAGGCCTTATAAAGTATTGTCCAGACAGACAATATTCATAGCCCTTTCACAATTAAGTGACTCCATCAGTGGACAAGGGAAGGCCACTAGGTTGGTCAAGCAGACCTTGGAGAAGCTGTACTGGCTGTCTTGAATCATTTCCCTGTGCTCTGTATGCCTTTGCAGAGCTTTTGGGAGGATCTGTTCCATGATGTTCCCAGGTACAGAGGTGTGGCTGGCAGGTCAGTAACTCCTGAAGTCCTCCTTCCCATCCTTT